TCGAGCTTGTCCAGCCGGGCCCTTGGCCCCCGGGCCGAGCCGGGCCGGGGCACCCACGTCGCTTACGCGGCTGAGGGATCTCGCGTACTCCGAATGGCACCCGAAGTGGTGCCGAACGGCCACGGATGGGCCGCTGCCAGTACGCCACAGATGTGCGGCGCGCTTCACCTCGCCCTATAGCTCAGCATAGGCCTTGCCGGTCTCCTCTTGTCTCTGGAGAAAGCCGTGAACCATATGCCCCCCCCCCCCCCCCCGTCCCTAAACTCTCGGCCGCACCCGGGACTACTGCTGATCCGCAGTGCCACACAGAACTTGTCTCACTATGCTGCAGTTCCTTGTGGAACTGCAGCTCTATGGGGCACTTTCAAACGTCTACAAAGAGTTTCTTCATAACCTACAAAGAAAAACGTTACTATCCGTTACCACCGTAGCCTAGGCGCGTTCTGTAATTACGCTTTGTAATTACGAAGCAATGCTCTCTTTGCAATTACAAGGCTTCCGTTTACTCTGTGTAACTCAAAGCAAATGCTTTGTAGGCTTTTCGTATTGTAGGCCTGCGGCCGAGAGGGCCGCAAACAACGCTGTTCGAATTAATATTGATAGAGGTGTGGAAGGGGAAGGGGAAGGGGACTGGGGTTTTATGGATGGATGTCGGACTCCAACATTGTAAGAACATGTAAGAACAACATTATTCGCAAAACGATTTCTAATTTGAGGCCCGGTATGCGCACGTGAAGCCTTTTAAGACCACATCCAATAATGTGGGCTTTTCGGATTTAAGTTCATTTTCTTAAATCTCAAGTACTTTGACGATTTTGAATCAACGTGTCGCGCGCTACAGAGCCGAGCCGTCCCGGCGGTCCGGACCCAGCTCGGAGCTGCGCTTCCGAGAGGGCCACTCGAAGAGAGGGGGAAAAGGAGGGGGGGGGGGTCCAGAGACTTCTGAATGACGACACGCCGCTCCGCGGGTGTGGGACTCGCTCACCAGCCGGCTGAATGCATGCGAAAACGCACGCAAACGAGGCCAGTAGTGATGTGGGCTGCCTACATGCCAGGGGGGAGACGAATACTGTCCCGAGCTCGGGTCACGGTGATTTAAAACCATCACAGTACTTGAGATTTGAGAGAATGAACTTAAATAACATGGACGAGACATGCGCGCGGGTGTGGCAGTGCCCCCTCGAATGCTTCCCGAGCGTTCCGAGCGTCTTCCTGTTCTTGGGCCTCCGCGGGCCGGGTAGAGTAATTCAGAGATCAATTAGTTATATAATTTTAGTAACGGTGTAAAAAAGAATTCGTCTTCCCCCTGGCATGCAGGCAACGTTGCTGGTCTCGTTTGCGTGCGTCTTCGCATGCAACCAGCCGGCTCGCGAGCGAGCGCGAGTCCCCCACCCCACCAGGCTACCAGTCTGCCGCGCCGACACGGTGGCACCGCGTCCGCGCGGCAGGCTGGTGGAGGACTCGCGGGGCGAGAGGGAGC